TCAAGGGCATTGCGAAGGTCCTTTGTAGCAGCTCACAATTCTGCCTTGGTCCAAGGAATATAAATGATTGATGAAGTCCTAGAACCTCCTTCATTAGGTTTAAGATTAGAAGGAGTTTGAATGACTGGAGCTCCAGAGGAACCTCCAGCTTGATATTATAGAATGGAAGTTCTATAAAACTAGGATATACAGGACAGCCTGGATGGTGCAGTCAGGTAATTGTCTGACTCTTAGTTTGGGCTCAGGTCATGATCTCAGGGTCCTGAGATCGAGACTCACATCAAGCCCTGTGTCAGACTCCATGCTCAGTGGTGAGTCTGCTTGGGATTCTTTCCCTCTGCCTCTCCACTCAAGTGCATGTGCTCTCTCTCTCTCTCTCTCTCAAAATATATGAGTCAATAAATGTTTAAGAAAATCCTAGGATATTTGGGTGAAGAGCAGGAGGGAGAAGGTACAGAAAGAGCAATATCTATGGCAGTTTCTCAGAAGCTTTTTTGGTTTAGATCATCTCTGAGGGAGGTCAGAGTTGGCTTTAGAAAGTTAAGTTACTTTTGGGTAAGGAAGCAAGTTTAGAATGATTTAATTTCTCAGAGGCCTCTAAAAACTAAGTAAAATATGCTTCCTACTCAAGCTGCTTGGTCTCTTTTCTCTTTCCAATTGTGCACACAAATAGACTAATTTTGGAATCTCAGAAGATGCCAGGAGTGGCCACTGTAACACAAGTAGGATTGATCCAACAAGACAGAAACTTACAAGAAATGTCCCTATAACATACACCCAGCCAGTCAGGGGCTGCCCTCCTGCAGCAATTTTCCAAACTGAAAACTCCATTGAGTAATCACCAGACAGAAGAGAGTAACTGTAGTTCAGACAGACAAAAGCCTACATGGGAAAGACACCCCAAACCTGGGTCTGAGCCTCAACCAAAAAAAGGGAGTTTGGGGATAAGGGGTGGAGTGCTCTGGGCTGGCACAGTTGGTACAGCATGTGACTCTTGATCTTGGGGTTATGAGTTCGAGTCCCACCTTGGGCATAGAGCCTACTTAAAAAGAAAATTATGGAAACAGGGAGGTTTAGAACTAAAAGAACTCACCAGCAGAACCCTTAGCTGCTTGGTTATGCAAGTACCATGTTCAAATCCTGAGTCAGAGTGGTGCATCCCTTCGGATTCCATGCTGTTCTCACACCATTTATGTCAACTGAGAAAAGGAGGCAAAACTGAAAAAGAAGACAAGCCTTTGTTGATCTCAGAATTGCAATTCAGGTGCACAAATTCCAGAGGAGTGGGAAAAGTGTCCTGCTCATGTGGGGAAAGCAAGGGGTTCTTATGAGAAAGAAGCAAGCTGTAATTACATGATTTAGACAAAGAAAAGAAAAAAAAAACTCTGGTAATTTGGTGCCAACTGGTGGAGCTGCTTCTAATTTCTACACTATTGATTATTTTATTGGTGCCGTCAAACACACCTGTCCCTGGTATGTATTAATTCACTTTACTGGCCTCATATAATCTGAATGCTACTTGTCCTGTTGAAATTTTATGAGCAATTTCTTGTAAAAGAATTGCTGCCTCTGGCCCAGTTTGATAGTTCCTTAGTTGGACAGAAAACTGGAGCTTCAAAAGGGAGTCTCTTGTGTCCAGAAATTGTATACAATTCCCCAATTTTTAAAAGATGCTGATTGAAAATCACTAAAATAATTACCATGCTGTCAATTTCAAAAGGACTCTACTATTGTTACTTTTTCATTTCCTTCCATCCTTTTCCCTAATCCGGGTTCTGTAACATCATTTCTGTTTTTCCCCCTCAACCCCTTACTCTACACCACACTCTCTCTCTTTCTTTTTTTTTAAGATTTTATTTATTTATTTGACAGACAGATATCATAAGTAGGCAGAGAGGCAGAGAGGGGGAAGCAGGCTCCCCAAAGAACAGAGAACCCGATGCAGGGCTTGATCCCAGGACCCTGAGATCATGACCCGAGTCTAAGGCAGAGGCTTTAACCCACTGAGCCACCCAGGCGTCCCTACACCACATTCTCTTGTCCATCTCTGTGTTTATAGTTTAACCACACTTGCTCTGGAAGGAAATTTTCCTATACTCTGTATAATTATCAGATTCTGGTGTTCCCCATGAGGCCTGCTTACAGAAATGCTGGACTTAATAACTACCGATAAACTGGCCTGCTTAGGAGAGGAGGGCAAATGAATCAGTATTTCTGAATTTCCTGGAAGAATACACAGACAGGCCTTCTGGCAAATGTACAGGACGTAGGCTAACTTGCTTCTAAACACCACAAAAGGCATTAAATGATATAGATAAGGATTTCCTTGATTCTAGAAGGTGATAAAAAAGAAAGCCACTGAACCTACCATATCGATCCATTTAAAAAAAAGAGTGACCATGTTCCAACTCTCACATACTTTTGACTCTGAGATTCTAAGAGGATAGCAAATTATTTGCCTACCAGTATAGTGGAATCAGAATTCAAACATTTTGGGGTATCTGGGTGGCTCAGTGGGTTAAGCCTCTGCCTTTGGCTCAGGTCATGATCTCAGGGTCCTGGGATTGAGCCCCACATCAGGCTCTCTGCACAGCAGGGAGCCTGCTTCCCCCCCCAACCCTCACCTGCCTCTCTGCCTCCTTGTGATCTCTGTCTGTGAAGTAAATAAAATCTTTAAGAAAAAGAATTCAAACATTTCAGAATAAGTGGGGCTAGGTGTACATGAGAGACTCTTAAATATATTGATCCTGTGTTTCCCACAACAGCCTGTATTTCACATCCCAATTCCTTTCACCAAAACAAAACTGAGAGGAAGAAAGATGACTTAAGGTTTCAGGAGTTACACATACCTAAGCTCGCACTTGGAGATTAGGGAAGGGCAAAGGCAAGGGTCTTAAACAGAAGAGTCTAGCTCACCTTATCTAATCTCCACACCTTAAATATTTACTCTGAACCTCCTAGTCCTATTTCCTCTTATCCGGTTGGAATTACTCCCATTTGCCTGCTCTTTCTCAACCCTTCAAACCCTAGCGGCGGTCTGAAAACTCAAATTTACATAAACATGAAAATCAGCCAATACATACTCCGATTTCCTTTTTCGTACTATTACTGAGGCAGAATAACAGTGGGGCATGTGAGGCCCAGGAAACATAAATGACTTGTCTGAGACCAGCCAGCCTTCTGTGGCAGAACCAGGACTAGAATTTCCAGCTCCTGACATCAGGCCTATTGCTCTTTTAAAGAGCAGTCTGAGGGAAGGGAAGCCAGGAAAATAAATAAAAAGGAAGAAGGTAGGACGCTAGTCCACCTTGCTCACCCTGCCACCCATTCCAGATCTGAAAGTACAGCAGTGGAGGAAACACTGGTTTGGAATGCTAAGGATCTTGGTCTGATCTTGGCTCTGAGTTCAACACTTGATTTTCCTGACCTTGAGTAACTAATTTTCTTCCCTGGCTTCCTTTTGCTCATCTGTCAAATAGGGCAAATGTTGTTGACTTGGATGGGAGGATGTGTGAATGTGTTCTACAAGCAGCCTTAATCATGAAAGGCAAGATGCTCTTTCTCAGGCTAATCTGTTTCCACCAAAGAAACCCAGAGGTGAACACTGAGGCTTCATACGGACGATTTAAGCAGCTTGAGTTGTCTCAAGTTCATTGTGATGATTTCTGACAGGTAGAGCAAGAAATCAAAGTCAACTCCAACTGGAGAGTCTCTAGGTGTTTCAATGATTCCTCCTCTGCTCTTTCCTGCTGTTAATTTATATAAGAAGAAAGACACCATTTCCATTGAGAATCTTTCTTTTTTTCCATGGAGAGGGGAGGTCCAGTAATGCTTCTTGGTCTTACCATATTTGCCCTATTTTTCTATTCTATCCGGGAAGCTAGCCTTTCCTTATCTCTCTTGCTATTCTAGCAATGATTACTTGGATGGGGATTGACATGGGTCAAAAGCATAAGAGAGAAAGTTAATGATGGAAAGGATTACAATAAATAGCTCAGACACTCCTTTATTTTATGGGTCTGAGATGATTTACCCAGATGTAAGAGGTAATTTGCCCAAGCTAGTAGAGGGAGTTAAAGACATTAAGAATTTAAATATACAAGGGACGCCTGGGTGGCTCAGTTGGTTGGATGACTGCCTTCGGCTCAGGTCATGATCCTGGAGTCCCGGGATCGAGTCCCGCATCGGGCTCCCAGCTCCACGGGGAGTCTGCTTCTCTCTCTGACCTTCTCCTTGCTCATGCTTTCTCTCACTGTCTCTCAAATAAAAAAAGAAAATCTTTAAAAAAAATTAAAAAAAAGAATTTAAATATATTTGATTTAAGAAAGCCCTATTAGGAGACTTCCTCTCCCCCCAGGCAAATCAGAAAATCCACTCACATGGACGTTAATAATCTCAGTGTAGGTACCTAAAATTATGTATGCAATGTTGCAACTGTAATAGAATTAGGATATGGCGATGATTTACTAATTCTACCCATATCAGAACCACCTATGGGACTTGTTAAAACCCAGGTTGCTAGATCCCAATCCCAGAATTTCTGGTATAGTAGGTGAGGTCTGATAATTTGCATTTCTTTTTTTTTTAAGATTTTATTTATTTATTTGACAGAGAGAGATCACAAGTAGGCAGAGGAGGCAGGCAGAGGGGGGGCGGGAAGCAGGCTCCCTGCTGAGCAGGGAGCCCGATGCGGGACTCGATCCCAGGACCCTGAGATCATGACCTGAGCTAAAGGCAGCGGCTTAACCCACTGAGCCACCCAGGCGCCCTGATAATTTGCATTTCTAACAAATTCCCAGGTAATGCTGATACTACCGATACAGAGATCACACTTTGAGAATCACGGGACTATGGATACGCTAGTTTCCATTTTTCTAGGATTCGACAAAACCGTGTTAAGAGAAATCTGTCTTTTATCTTGTGTTAGTACCTTTTCTTCCAAATCTTGGTTCTTTGCTAACAAATAATACACTTAGAATATTGGTAGAAAAAGGCTTAAGGCAGAGGTTCAAAACCGTTAGTCTGAGTCACGTAAGTGCTTGTTAGAGATGCAGATTCCTGCCACCTTCTCCCTAACCTGACCCCTCAGAATGCAATGACCTAGGCTCTTTGATGCCAGGGATTTTGTCCTGATCATTGTTTATAGCACTAGGGTCTGGGTGTTCTATAAGGGACTGTTGAATGAGTGAATGAATGAATAATCATGGAATCATACCTTCTGGTAATAACGTCATTGTGCTGTACCCTCCCACACTTCTTTCATTGGTTTAAGGTTCTACTCTAGGCTTTGCTGGTAGATATAAAATAAACACAGACAACTGTTACAAGTAGGGCAGTACACACAGAATCTCAGCTGTAGAAACCATTTCAAAATATAAATTTGCGGGTGCCTGGGTGGCTCAGTGGTTAAGCCTCTGCCTTCGGCTCAGGTCATGATTTCAGGGCCCTGGGATCGAGCCCCGCATCAGGCTCCCTGCTCCGTGGGGAGTCTGCTTCCCCCTCTCTCTCTGCCTACTTGTGATCTCTCTCTGTCAAATAAATAAATAAAATCTTTAAATATATATATATATACATATATATGTGTGTGTGTGTGTGTGTGTATATATATATATATATATATATATATATATAATTTGTTCTTTGGCATACACTGTATCAAAGGCTGCCCATGTTAATAACATTATTATGAAATAGTAATATTTCCTTTGATAAGCAGGACAAAACCCATCCATGATCTTAAACACATATCCATCTCCTTATAACAATTCCCATCTCTACCCAGTCATCACAAGTCACTTCTATGTCTTTACGGGTATAGAGGAGACTGGGCTTGGGCCATGTGACTTGTACAGCCAACAGGACATCAGCAAACATGATGTAGAGACTTGATAAGCGTTTACATAAGAGTGAGTCTTTCCTTCTTGGAACCCAGCTTTAAGAGAGCCAATCGAACCTACCAGCAGATGAGAACCCATGTGGAGGAGAACTATGCACTCTAGCTGACCAGCACCAACTTCCAGAATTGTGAATAAAACTGTCTTGGATATTTCAACCCCAGTAGAGCTCCCAGCTGATTGCAGCTACTGAATGAGCAACCCAGTTGAATGAGTGACCTTAGTCAATATCACCCAGAGCAGAAAAACCACCCAGCTGAGCCCAGCTAGTATACAGATCATGACAGATAATAAAGGGCTATTCTCCTTAGCACAAAAATTGATGTTGAATGAGGGCATTCTCTACTTTCAATGGGATTATAATCATTCATTTGCAGATGTTTTTTATTTAATTTAATTTTTATGATTTATTTATTTGAGAGAGAGAGAGCACAAGGGGCAGAGGGAGAGGAAGACAGACTCACCACTGAGGAGGGAGCCTGACATGGGACTCGATCCCAGGACTCTGAGATCGTGACCCAAGCCTGAATCAAGAGTCAGACACTTAACTGACTGGGCCACATATGCACCCCCTTGCTGATTCTTTTTTTAAAAGTATGCTTTTGAAAAGAAAGGGTAACTAAAGTTTAGTTGTTTAGGCTCCATATTTAAACCTGATTAGGAAAATTTTTGGAAGAAACTATCATTTATCACACAGGAATGGCATGTAAGGAAAGAGGAATGACGATCTTCATTTAAGTACATTCATAGCCTTTTTACTGGGAAACTCTCCTCTCTTAGGAAACATTCCATTGAAAGCACTTATCTTCAGGGACACTTCTTATTTGTGAAGAAACATATGGATGTAATTTCTTAAAGGACTGGGAAGAATTTTTCAAATTGTCTAGCTCAACTCCATTTATTAGGGCTGAAGAAAATAAAGGCAAGGATCTCAGTTACTTGCCAAGGTCACTTAAATGTAGGAAATTGCCCACCAAGTGGTGAGGTACATACATGCGTCTTATGAATTTACTGCTACTGATGACTCAGAGAATAAGCCAAAGAACTCAGAGCATAAGCCAACCTACAATGAACCAACCTACAATGAATCAATAGTACTCTTTTCTGAAAGCAAACATATAAACATTATATATATATATATATATATATAAAAATAATTAGGCCATCACTGAAAAAAAAAAAAGCTGTGATCTTTTTAATTTTATTTTGTAAAGTAAGTACTACACCCAACATGGAGGTTGAACTAATGACCATGATCTTGATCTCATGACTTGAGATCAAGAATTGCATGCTCTACCAACCCAGCCAGCCAGGTGACCCTGTGGTCTTTTTTCAGAGTTTTCTATCATACTTTCTGTACTCCATTCACCCAGGCTCCATTCCTCACCACTGTGCACAAAACTTAGGTCTTTATTTCTATCATCAATCTCTCTATGTTAGAGAATGAGGAATTAAAAGCTATAGAGAAACACCAAACGTTGGCAAGGATGTGGAGCAACTAGAACTCTCATTTGTTGCTGGTGGGAATGCAAAATGGTACAGCCACTTTAGAAGACAGTTTGGGAGTTTCTTCCAAAACTAAATATACTCTTACTGTATGATACAGCAATCATACTCCTTAGTATTCACCCAATGGAGGTGAAAACTTATGTCCACATAAAACCTGCACCCGAGGCTTATAGCAACGTCATTCATAATTGCCAAACTTGCAAGCTAGTAAGATGCCTTTCAGTCGGTGACTGGATAAATTGTAGTCCATCCAGACAATGGACTATTATTCAGCGCCAAAAGTAAATGAATTACCAAGCCATGAAAAAACATGGAGGAAACTTAAATGTGTATAACTAAGTGCAAGAACCCAATCTGAAAAGCCTACTTACAGTATGATTCTAACTAAATGACAATTTGACAAAGGCAAAACTACCGAGACAGCAAGATCAGTGCTTGACAGGGGTTGTTGGGCATGTGTGGGGGAGACTTAGGGATGGATAGGCAAAGTACAGAAGATTTTTAGTGCAATGAAACTACTCTATGATACAATAATGGTGGATACATGTCATTATACATTTGTCTACACCCATGGAATGGAAACACTAAAAGTGAATCATAATGTAAACTATGGACTCTGGGTGATGGTATGTCAATGTAGCTTCATCAGCTGTAACAAATGTTCTACTCTGGTGGGGGATGGTGATGATGGGGGAGGCTGTGGATATGGGGGCAGGGGGTATATATGAAATCTCTGTTATTTCAGCTCAATTTTCCTGTGAACCTAAAACTGCTCTAAAAAAATAAAGTCTATTTTAGGGCACCTGGGTGATGCAGTTGGTTCAGCCACCAACTCTTGGTTTCAACTCAGATCATGGTCTCAGAGTTGTGAGATCAGACCCCACACCGGGCTCCACACTCAGTGTAGAGTCTGCTTGGAATTCTCTCTCCTCCTCCCTCTATCTCTCCTGCTAGTGCTCTGTCTCTCAAACAAATAAATAAATCTTTAAAAAATAAAGTCTATTTAAAAACCTGTAGAGATAGTTTCGACATATTTGAGTGGCTTTGGCCTCTACTCATGTTCCTTGGCTGACTGTGCATTACTGAGCATTCATTACCTAGGTTGAGAAATCACCTGCTTCCCTTTCATTGCCATTTCAATTCTCTGATTTTGACCTTCTTTATTTTTGACCACATGGCTTATGTTGGCTATTTCCTTGCTTATGATAAAATAAATTTTATTAAGATTCATTCTGGTTGTACTTAAATAAGCTTAGACATTTAATTTTTTAAAAGGTCATTTTAAAATTTTGCAAAATATTGGCACACATGAAATCACTGGCTTATGGGGAACAGAGGGTTTTTTTTCTTCTTTTAAAAACACTTGGTCCCTTGGGGTGCCTGACTGGCTCAGTCAGTACACCATGTGACTCCTGATCTCCAGGTTGTAAGTTTGAGCCCCACACTGGGTATGGAGATTACCTAAAAATAAAATCTTAAAGAAACAAAAACAGTTGGTCCACAAATCCCTGCTCTTCAGAAATTTGTCCTACATACTTTGTACTTAGGTTTTCAAATACTGTATACCTTAACTTCTCCACTCCCCTTCATATCCTTTTCCCTAAGTGCTGTTAGTAACACTGCAGTCTGCGAATGGAAATTTTCTCTTTGTAGCCTGTGTCTGGCTGCCTGGAAATGATGGTGATGTCACAATTGCTGACTTGCAGTTAGGCAACATAGCAAGAGGAACATAGTTAAAGGAGAAATAACCTCTATTTGTAAATTAGCATGTGTATGACAAGAAGAGCATACATTTGTATGGCTCTCCTTTCATGACTCCCTCTTCTTCTGGATGGGGAGATATGACATTTCTGCCTATTCAGGAGAACTTGCTGTAATCTAGTGCCAATGTCTAGACGCTTTGGGATGCCTGCATATTCCACAGGTGACAGAGTCCATACTGCAGTGAACTTTGGAAGCTTCCTATCTGCCAACTTTGCAGATATGGATACCCAGGCTGACATATGTGTTCAGGAATAGGGAACAGAGTGACCACATTTAACTTATGATTCACAGCTATGTGGTTATGATACTTAAAGAGACAAGCCCCATTTCAAGTAAGGATTTGGGGCTTTTGGTGGTACCCCAGTGAAGTGTTTGCAACAGAACAGTATCCCCCCATAATTATGTTTATTATTTGGGAGTCTTCTCTACTAACAAGTATAAGAGAGCTTATTATGTAAACTATATTCAGGGAATACTTTATTTTTAATCTTTTGATATTTTCTGCCCTTGTTAAAATTCTACTGAAATGCTTCTTTTCTAAAGGAGGAAATGGAGATGAGGCATTCCAGCGAGGGTAAAACACTGTAGATACTTATGGTTTATTTTATAACTATTAAGACCAATGTTTCCATGACTGTAGAGTGAGAAGTCCCCAAGTTAAAGTCTTGCACCCTTCCAAAGGTATACAGGTTGAGTTATAGCAAAATGGAGGTTTTCCTATACTCATTCCCTTAAAAATACCACACCCTTGGCTTTTGGCCCTTGTACTCAGGCGCTTCTTGGCAGTATTCCTTTCTCTCTCCCTGTCTGTTGTAGTTTTGCTCTATTGTTGCAATAAAGGCTTCCAAAGTGTTCACTCCACCCTGCATGTAGGCCCTTGCTTAGTCTCCATCACTCTGGGTCTATATGCCATGATTCGTGGACACTAGTAACCATTACGTGAACAGAAACTTAAAATGAGCTTCCTCATTTGGGCTACTGCTCTTTTGCTTCCTCTTTGGTAGTCCTCAAACCACCATGTGGGGAAGCCTCGGCTAGCCTGTTGGGAGGTGAGTGACCCCCATAGAGGAGTGATAAGTCATTGCCACTAAAGCCCTGCTAGAAAAATGGCTTAGCAATCACTAGAAATGTGAGGCCATCCTAGAACAACCAGCAACAGCCCAGCCAGACAAGACCAGAAGAGCCATCACGAATGTCCCAAAGATCCGGGCCATCACATTCCACAAAACTGCCAGCAACATATTTTGTTATTGAGCCCCCTTCAACTTCAAGGTGGTTTCTTATGCAACAAAAGCTACATGACACACGGTCCCACCTGCAGTTGGTGTGGTTTTCTATCATGTGATGGGATGCCAACCACACAATTGGCTGCTCTTCTTTCCTCTTCCTCCACTATGGAAAATATCTTAGTCCAGTTCTTCAGTTACAAGGAACAAAACCCACTTAAACTGGCTAAAAATAAAATGCTGTGCATACTAGGTGCATGTGCACACACGTGTACACACCAAGTGGGAGATGACAGATGGTTTTAATGACAGGATTGACAACTTCTTAGACACAAGACCTGCTGCTCAATGAAGCTCTGTGTATGCTGGTTCTAGAGGCCTCTGGGAACTGAGTTTACTCGAGTCATCTTTTTGTTTCTGTCTTTCTGGGACTCTTCTCTTAAACTCTTAATTTTTTTTAAAGATTATATTTTTTATTTTTTTGACAGAGATCACAAGTAGGCA